GAACAGAATAGACAACCCTGACCACTCTGTTCATGATACTGTCATTGAAAAACAGATCTATAATACAGTGGGGGAAATAAGTATTTGAGCCCTTGCTGATTTTGCAGGTTTGCCCACTTACAAAGAATGCAGCGATCTATAACTTTAATCATATGCACATTCTAACAGTGAAAGACAGATTCCCAAAGAAAATTCCAGAAAATCACATCATAAGAATTTATAATAATTGATAACCATCTGATGAGGAAAAATAAGCATTCTTTGTAAGTGGGCAAACCTGCAAAATCAGCAAGGGCTCAAATACTTATTTCCCCCACTGTATTATAGATCTGTAATAACTCCTTAACTTAAACATCAACGTTTAAATCCCCTTTGGGGTAAATAAAGTTTTGGATTTGATGGTTTTTGAGAGGAGTCCTCCCAACCTTTGACTGGTAGTGAAAGTGCACACGGGTACATGATCTTTCAAAACACATTGCTTTCCTGGGACATTTGACTAATTACAGTTAGTATTTGCATTAATTCTGCAGGATGATGACCATATAGGCCCAGAGTGCTCTTCAACGCTCATCTGGATCCTTCAGATCTCATCAGCTCCATCAGCTCAGTTACCGGAACCCTTACGGGGCAATATTTCACCAGCTTCTGCACTTTGACTCCGGAAATGGCTCCAGAAAAGAACTTTGCCCAGCAGCATTAGAGGCGGGTGGTTTGATGTGAGATTAGACATTTAGACGGCCAGCTTTGGTTTGTGCATCCTCACATGATATTAGTCTGCCATGTTGGCTTTGTGAGCAGTGGAAAACAACGTTACGGCAGCTCCTGTTTGTGCACAAGGCCTGTCCTGGTCCATGGGTGTGTTCATGGAGTTTATCTAACATGATCTGGATCTGTAAATCACATTATTTGTAGCATCTGGGAGATGACTGGAGCTCAGGAGGTAGAGCATTTCCCATAACTTCCATTTTCTCCAGACCTTGGACGAGACTCTGAAACCTTACTGTGTGTTATAAAAAACATGCTGTGGCCTGTGAAGCTGTAAATGCTAAAATGTGTCAGTGGATGAATGTGACCTCTACTTTGAATTGATCAACTGGTCTAAAAAAGGTGCAACAGGAGGCCATATATCTACATTAATAATGTAGTAGAAAATAACATGAATTCTAATGTAAATTATGGAATTGAAATGTCAAATAATAATGTTAATATTGCAGTAAATTCCATAGAAAAAAAAGTAATCAGGAGTAACTGTGTAATTTATCACTATGAACTTGATATGAAAGCACTCTTAACCAGAAGGAATTGCAAATAAATAAATCTTCAAACAGACACTACTCATTCCCATCTATGAAAGAAAATCCATGCCTTTTACACTCATCGTAGACATTGTCCTTACCTCTTTCTTAATTCAAACACCAGCCTGAGTATCACACAGTGTCCAGCATCAACTGGCAACTCTTAAGCTTCTTTCATTCCCGGTGGATCAACAAAGGCATTGTTCCTGCTCTGGTTTTAGGTTCTCTCCTACATCAAATATGTGGGTAAACAGATCTGCTCTGTGTTTGTTACTGTTGTTACTATCACAGAAAGGGGTTGCTGGTTTAAATCCCAGCCGGGCACCTTTTGGTGGGGAGTTGGTGTGTCTTCCCCATGAGTGCATGGCTTCCTCCCACTGTCCAAAAACATGCGTTGGATCGATTTAAAACTCTAAATTGGCTGGAGGTACATGGGTTTTGTGTGGCCCTGTGATCAACTACGGACTGGTCAAGGAATTGGCCGGCCTCTTACCCAGTGACAGCTGGGAAACATTCTGATGTTCTCATGAGATTTTGTTGTGGCTTAGAAATGAAAAAGAAGAAGAAAAGTGACATCTAAAGGATCAGAGGAAGACTGAAGAACTCCAATCTGGACGTGGCTAAATCCATCATTTATCCTAGCAGAGGGTGAGACCACACCCCCTGATTCTCTGGTACAAGGAAAGTTTTCATTTCTCAATAATTTTTTGTGTTATTGTGTGCCAGAAGATATACGCCCATCACTAAGGTTTCTCACATTAGAAAGGCAAAGCAAACTTTGGCACAAAAAAAACACTTTAAATTCCTCATCAGAGGAATAACTAGCAAAACTGAGTCATCTGAAGAACTTTGGTTGATATGGTGAACCAGCAGGTACTGCTGGTTGTGTGCAGTTTCAGGTATTGGTATACAGCTCTCATAATCAGTTTGAAAACATATATCTATCCAATTCATAAATGCTATTATTCATACTAGAGGTGTTGGCTCTTAACATCACAGATCCTCTTTGTTGGGCTCTTTTGGGTTTGGGAGGTGTGAATGCATGCAGCTCCAAATGTGTATATGAATATGTGAGTATGTCTTTATTGATATGAATTTGTAAACCTAATAGAGGCAGTTTAAAATGAATTTCCCACCAAAACAAGGCGTTGTTCAATTAAATAAAACTGACTTTGACTCCATCTTCTGGTTTAAAACAGTATTGAAAAAAGGGGCATGGCTATAAACCTAAAATATACAGTTAATTTACACTTTAAATGAATTTATGTACATTTTTTAGACTTGCATAACATTAAAGATGGCAGTTTTTGTTTATATCTGAGTTCCACATGTCACACTTCACTAAAACTAGGCAAATGTTTCACCTCAAATGAAGCTGAATTAGTTCTTGTTCATAACTAATGTCATGTGTTAGGTTTACAGTCCTAAAATGTCTCCTTTCGTGTTCATTTTGTTTTGTTTTTAAACTCGTGTGAATTTTCCTTATATGATTGTATAGTATATTTCTGTAAAGTCCTGAAACACATGCCCCACAGCAGTGAGAAGATATATGTGTTACACTATTTTAACACTAACTTAAAAAATGAGGTATTGGTGAATAGATCACTTTACTTGATAGAGTATAAAGTAAGGATGCAACAACTTTGCCCTCAGAACTCCTGGTTATAAAGCAACACTGAACAGATTCTCAACCCTCAAAAGTACAGTAAATGTATCAGTCCTGGGCCGTAAATTTCCCCAGGATGTCCAGGACATCAGATGAGCATACTTTGGTTTCTGGATCTGCACAATACTGTTTTGCTTCATTGTCACTTTACAGTTTTGATTTTTTTGGGGCCTCCAACAGCTGTAAGGGGAGCCAAAGATGTGCAAAATGTGACTTTAAATGCAACTAAATGTGTCGTAACATTGTTGTAAATTGCTATTCACTCCACAACCAACCCTCTAGCCTCATGTTTCAGAGCTTAAATTAATTTTATCTGTACAAACTCAAGCTGACCTGAAAATGTCAGTGACACAGTATAAGATGTAAGAGTGTGTCAGGCTCTCATATCTCACGTCTTTTTTCACATTTTTTTTTGGCACACTGTGTTGGTCACCAGTTCGACACAGTGTGCAGTAACATACATTTTTGATAAAATGGACGGATAAAAAAATCTTGAGTGTCTCAATAAAACCCATGTATACCTTTACATTACTTGAAATACATTATTTGAAATAGTTTTTCTGGGGGGTCAGAGAATCAGAATCAGAATAAGGTTTATTGCCAAGTAGGTTTTTAGACTTACAAGGCATTAGTTCTTTAATATTCTGGTGTTATGCTTAGTAGAGTAGCCCAAATTTGAGTTTTCATTACCTAAAATTTAACTATTTTACCACCCTGCCCACTGACAGTATGTATGTATGCAGTTTGTTTAATCTGTTCATTTTTTCTGTACAAATATTAACATTTTCATAGTAAATTTAAGGATAAAGATTGGCTATTATTCACATTCGGTAGGTAGCATATTTAAGGAAACCGTATGCTATTGCTCTTAACAGCATCTCCCACCCTTACACGTTCCCTGCCCCTCCAAACCCTCTCACTTGGACCCTCTCGTGTGTGTATATTGTAATTTGTTTTGGATAAAAGCGTCTGCCGAACATAAACCACCGTTTGATTGTGCTTTCATTCTTTTAATTCATCTGCGTTTGGCTGTGCTATTCTGTAAATGCACAGCTCATAATAAATAAGATGTCAAAATTATTATTACAAGGTAGTAACTTTTCTCATGTTTTACAACACACAGCCATGTTTTCAACATGGACTTCCATGGCATTCAAAAATAAATGTACGAAGACAGAAGTCAATGTAAGAACGAATAAAGCAAATGAGCTTCCAGTGAAGCCGGGCACATCATGAGACGTGTGTAAGGCAGCCGGGACAGACGCAGCACTGTGTGCACACAGTGATGTGGCACTGTGGAATAGACACCATTATTGTTGACACACAAAGGACGTAGAGAATCCAGAATCCTCTCGTCTCTGACATGACAGTGTTCTCAGCTTTGATTTTGGTATGAACGGGATTTTACATAGAAACACAATAGTCGTCCATAGAACTTGGAATCCTTATCTCAAGGTGCAGTATCTGGTAATCCATGTCAACCAACTCCACTAAGCACATCCCCAAAGGCCTGGAAAGTCGAAGAGGAGTAAAAGGTTTGACCATCTGAGGATACATGGGTGCTGGTCAATGTAAACGGGGTACAGTCAGGTGACGTGTGATTTGTTTCTTCTTTTCTTGATAAGGTTTCTGTGCTCACTCCAGGTCCTGGAGGTTGATTGTGCTTCCTGTGAACTGGGAGTTGTCAGAACCGTTGTCGTCTTCCGCCATCACCGTGGGCTCCTGAAAGC